CCCCCAAACACTGATCAATTTTTGTTGCACAAAAGTTGTTTAAAAATTGTACATTTATGCACAAAAAATTGGAAGTAATTTTGTTTTTTTGTTTTTTTTTTTTTGTGCATTATATATAGAAAAATGTAATGGCGCAAAAATTTCTCAATTGGACATAATTTCCAGCGTAATGTTAATTTATCCTGAAATAATGGCCATTATATATGTAAAGATATCAAAAATTTACCTCCAAATTCTAAAAATAATGATACTTGTGTTTATCCAACCACAAATGATAAAGCGTTAATGTCTGCAATAATTGATCAAAGTTGAAGAAATCGGAGAGACACCTTAGAGGTTTTCCAATTTGTTAGGAAACAAACAAAGTCTGAAATCGTTAGATGTTGTTGTAGAAGCTACAGAAATTTGTTTAAATCTGTATTTCTTAAGCGCTGGTTTATCATCGTTTTGATGTTAAATTAACATTTTTTATCAAGATTGTTCTTCTTCGACAACTTGATTAATACCAACAATTTAGATAACATCAATCAACAATGAATCTGTTATAAACGTGATTATTGTTATCATAGGTCGAAATCAGTAAATCTGTTATGTCACTTTTCTGTAGTTGTTTGTTACCACTCAGCTAAAAATAAAAGAATAGTCAGTAACATATTCTGAATGCCGTCAAGCAACTACCAAAAGTGATAAGACAGCTAGCTGTATGAATTTTTTTTTTTTGATTTCTCCAAAGATACAATAAATCATTAGACCGAACACAAAAATCTAAACATTTTCTTTGGGTAATTAAGAAAATTGTTTTGTTATAAACTAAATATTGATTGATAATGATAACAAATAAATATATAAAATAATATAAAATATGTATTAATTAATCATCCATTAATATCATAAATTCTAAAAAAAAATTTTTGAAAGTTATCACCAATTCAGAAAAACAAATGCAAAATATTTCAAATAATAACATTAACAATCACCTTCAGTTGTAATAACACCCATTCTCAACCTCAACTAATTTATATTAAAATAAATTTTACCAGTAAAAATTATTTATTAATGACTATTAACAATATGTGACAGATTACCTTAATGTTTTTCCATCAAACTCGTCAGTTTGGTCGGTCACTTCAATCGTTTATACATCATTTCCTTTATCATTATTATTGATGTTAATTTTATTAACTAAAGTAAATAAAAATTTAATTTACATCAACATCAGAGATTTCCTCGGATACTTGATGAGTTCGAGGTAATGTTGTATAATCATATACCTAGCAATTTCGCCACTGCGATATGTCAGTGGATAATTTTTT